TCTTTATTTTTTGATTTCATATGAACCTTAGAGTCGTTCCAATGTGGCTAAAACCGCTTCCATACGCGGCCTGCTTCTGGGATTATCACTTGCGCACTGCAAAGCAAGATTTGAAACTATAACTGCTCCTTCCAGAGGGTACTGGCCTTCCAATTTGGGGTCTACCGCTCGATACACTTCTTTATTCTTAAACAAATATGATCTTGCCCAATCCACTAGCAACTGTTGTTTACCAGTAGATATATCAATAGCCTGACGGCCAGATAGTAATTCTATCAAAACGACTCCAAAGCCATATACATCACACTTTTCCGTCAAATGACCTGTTCATCAGCAAGGAGTTTAACATGGCTACTCCTGTAATACATCACAAACTTGTAGAAAGGAATGCTTGTGAGAATTAGTATTTTGTCGTGCCAAACCTGTAGCCATGTATTCCGGTGCAGCGTAGCCATATGTACCCATAACTCGAGTGGACACATGAGTCTTATCATCAGTTGGCCCATCTTTAGCGAGATAGAAGTCAGACAACTTGGCATTAAAATCCTGCCCCATAATGTAACAAGATATTACTTTTTCTATGCAAACAACTACCTTAGGTGAAACCAAGACAAAAAGACAAAAAAAAGTAATCCATGGGACAAACCTCATCCAAAAGAATGTTAGCAGACTTAAAATGTCGATGTATCACTTTGTTTTTAGCATCATGCAAGAAAGAAAGACCTCTAGCAGTATCAACAGCTACCTTGATTCTAGTAGACCAAGAAAGACACGGATGCCCTCCTGTGGAAGAAAATCATTACTAAATGTCATCCATTGTTATTAGATATATGATCTAATGTAGCTTCAAAATTTCTGGAAAAATCATCACAAGATCCTATGTGATGTAAACCCTTGGATTCAATTCTACATCATTATTGGTGTGGAGTAAATTTTTACACATACCAACTTCAAAAGCAAGAACCACTTAGGTTCCCGAAAAACTTGCAATGAAGGGAACGGCCAATGTTCTAAAAAAAGGTAAAGCGTGACTAGGCGTGGAGACCAAATTTCAAATTTTACGAGCTTAAGCGAGGCATAAGCGTAAAAAAATGTTTTCTAATTTTTAATATTATTTTAAATTTTTAACCATTCTAAAAATTATTCAATTATTAAAATAATACTTACCAAACATCTAAAATTATGAAATACTCTATTTACTAAATTATTCCTAAAATTAGTTAATTATGCAATTTTCAAATTTTCGAAATGTAAAAGCGAGACTATTTTCGCAGTTTCAACTAGACAAATCCTACTTAATAGATTTATAGGAATTTCATAAATACCTTCGAAGTTTTCAATAAAACGATAAGTATCAAATCATAATTACATAACTATTTATGGTATAAAGACATTTTTTATTTTTGTACAGATAAAGTCATTTAAAAACTAGAAACTAAGTCAAATAAAAAGGCTTTTAAAAAAGGGGAAAAATAAATTAAAGTCAAATAAAAGGCTTTTCAAAAAAGGAAAAAAAATTAAAAAAAATTAATAAAGTGTGCTTAGGCACCCCTAGTTGCTCATTAAGTGATTAACTTGGCAGCTGACAGCTGAATTTCGCCCGCGCCTCATGTCTAGGCGGCAACACTGAGAAAGACAGATTCATAATCCTCGTACAATTAAAGTTGTGATGCACAATGTGTTTTTTAGAAGCCATGACTAGAAATTTATCAGCTAAGCATTCCATAACTATATCAAGTAATGGCTTTCTGTATTAGTCTACTAAAGGAGCAAACTACTAAAAATATTGAAATGATTGAGATCCTCACTGGAACTAATGAAACATACAATATTTTAAATTATATCCAAGAGTTAGTCATACAAGAAATGGCATACAACCGGTACATAAAGGCAATGCTTCACGGATTATTAAATAACAAATATGACAAGGGAGTAATATATTTAAGGGTTGTTCATAAATAGAAAAAATATTAAGCAACCATGCTTCAAATAATGAGTTATTTAAGTGAAACCTACCTCTGAACAAGTGATTGTCCAGGCTTCCTTTTGGCATGAACTCATACACCAAAAGAAGGTTGTCACCCTCGGTGCAGTAAGCAATAAGTTTAATCAGGTTCGGATGACGAAAATGACTCAGATAATTAACTTCGGCCTGCAAAATGTGGGTGGTTACTGAGTTTTTCATAACTATGTCATAAGACTCACAGAGACTGCAAAAAGGAACCTACCAACCAATCGTTGAACCCTGGAAAACTATTGGGATTCCACTTCTTGATAGCAACAGTCCTTCCATATCCTGGCTTTGCAGCGGTAAGAGTGAGCTCGTTGATCCATCCCTTAAAAACAGTACCAACTCCTCCTTTCGCTAAAATGCGGTCAGGTCGAAAGTTTCTGGTCGCTTTCTTTAATTCTTTGAACCGAATGGGCTTACCATTAGCATTTGGCTGTCTATCTTCAGATCTTGGCTTAGGGAGGCTCTCACCACTACTTTCTCCACTATAGAAAGGAATACTTGAGTTGGAGGAAGCTGAAGAATTGCAGGATTTGCTGTGAATTCTAGATGCTTGTGATGTATTACAGGAACAGGTGCAGAGAGCCAAATATTTATACCAAGTTTGTTACATGAATTAAAGTAAATTTCAAATGATAGCAAACATAAACATGAATTTATGGGGTTCACATGCATAAAACGTATACTCTGTTGCTAGTAAAATATTTTAGCAATCATCACTCAAACAGGACAAGAGGCTGAACGTTCAAAAACACAATTTTAAAACGGCTAAATTGGTGGTGAAAAGGAGAGGAAAAAAAGAACATAGAAGTATCACAATTTAATCATCATCGAAATCCAAAGTTTACTGGGAACGCACGTATGTTCACTAATAAGATTGAAACTAATTTTTATATGTTCTTTAATATCTCTCCACATTTTGTCAAACATTAAAAAAGGGCATCAGAACTTCATAATCATGCGATTTATACTAATTTTCCTATTTTACAGGAAGTGAAATCATTCTGTGCGAAGGAAACATAAAGAACAGAACATTATAACCCACTCAAAATTTCAGACTTATGCAAAGGAAACATAAAGAACAGAACATTATAATCATACTGAAATATATTTGAACACTCACCTTACTAGTAATCAAACAATACCCAATTTAATAATAATTTAATTTAATCCCTCTAAAGAAAAACAGAAAAATCAGGACTAAATCTAAGGCGCAGATGAAATTGCAAAACAGGACAAATAATCTAG